AACCGATAGCGCTTGCTAACCGTTAGTGGTATCCGGATACCGCTAACGGTTAGCGCTAACCAATCGGGCGTTCTCACGCAGGTGCTAACGGTTAGCGCTAACGGTTAGCTCCCGATCCGGATACTAGGGCTCTCGTGAGAACCAGGCTACAGATGTGTTGTCCCTTGAATGAATGTTTTTGCATACATAAATGCTAGTGGAAAGGTTTATTGATAAGGTAAAAATATGCACTACACCATAGTGAAAGATAGTTACACCTGAGAGTACGCGCACTCTATCCTTGATTAATACGGAACTAATATGACATCACTAAATTTTCAGCACATGCGAGTACGTTAAGTTCTCCTTGTGTTGATTTTAGGATACAATTTGGCCAAATCTGCGTTGTGCAGAGAACGTAAGATGGTCACGCATGAGTGAATACATTCTAGAGTCGCATCGTTGAGCAAATCGAAAGCACTTTAATATCTCATGAGCGTTACAGGCCTCTGTGCAATATCTGTTTCTCTTGCATGGATTTTTACGTGGTACATGTCTTCATCAAACACTGATTTTTTTTTTTCACACAAAAGTAATGTAACCCAGGCCACTTTCAAAGTTTTTCACTTACTGTATTTTGTGTAGCATTTTGTCTCATGTGGATGGGGTGTTACTATAGTTGATGTTTCATTACAATCTTTTACATAATTCAGTTTACTTGGATTAAATAAAAATATATGGTGATTTGTCAAGTTTGTAAAATAAATAATATTTATTTTATTTATTTATTTATTTTCAATCTTTCGAGAAAGAACAGAAAAAGTGGAACAAGGGTGCGGAGGAAAAGCAAAAGTTAAAAAACTGTCATCAATTGATGTGCTTAACCAAACCCCTGACAACAAAAACAATACAAACCAAAATCATTCATAGGAAACAATGACAGGAACAATTAATCAAAAAGCAACTCACACACACACAAAAATAAAAAAATAATAAAATAAAATAAATAAATAAAATAAAATAAATAAAATAAATAAAATAAAAATTTAAAATATTAAAGATTCATTCAAAATTACAATTATTAAATTATTATAAATATTTATGTGCAGTTATCACATCCAAAAACAGTATATTCGTCATTAAGATACAAAATTTAAAATGCCATCGTCATAAAAAAAAATAAGATCAAAAAGTACAATCGAAAAGAATAAAATAACAAAATAAAAAAAATCAGTAAAATGTTTCTTTAGACTCTGTTTAAACATAAAAAAAGGCTCCTCAATAAGATTATTTCTTATAGTAACATTAAGCTTTCGGAAATCTAACTACCCCTGAGTATTTAAACACATCAGTACGGGCTCTAGCATGATGGAAGGTACGTATATCTTGGTGACTATTATTAACTTCAAATAAATCTACATAACCCCATATAAAATCAGAACGTGGAGAAATAAGTAATTTTGCAATGAATGCCATGTTCAGAAAATCTCACCTATTCTCGACTGACAGTAAGCATAACTCCGATCATCTATTATTATATATAATAAGTTATGCTACCCAAAATGTCATTTATACTATTTAAAGAATGACATATAATACATTTTCAATATATTAGCTTTATATGTAAAACTTTTGTGATAATGGTACTCTGGTAGTAATAACTTGACTGTTCGAATGATAATAAAAGTGATGAACCTACTAGTATATGATGCAGTGACCAAAATAAATTCCCTTGGGGAAATTACTCATACCTTATAGTAAACAGTTTCCTTTTAAATAAAAACAAGCAATCATTAAACATATCAGACTTCTTTCCTGCTTCTTCATGTTCATTGCATCAAACAATTTCCTTCTATTTCCAGCACTTGCGGAACATATCTTTTTAGTTGTCCACTTGGTGTTAAGTGAACTTTCTTCCCTTTCAATTTAAAAGTGTTCATTAAACAAGGGGTGGGTGGTCAGCAGGGTAGGCACGAATGATAACCATGTCAGACCTACTTTGTTGTAGCTCAGTTCTTAAAATTTCAATGATAGTCTATCTCTAGATAGCAGGGGTGGTGCCAGCTGGGGGGAGGGCCAGGTTGGGGAGAGCTCCCCCCCCCCATTGGGGAGAAAAACTACAAATTTGTCGGGAAAAAAAAATGTATTTTCTATATATTAGTTGACTTTAAAATTGATTAATTAAGCATTTGAAACCCTAAATTTTCAAAATTTAGGGTTTCAAAAACTCTCAGGACCTGTGTAAAAAGATTTTTTATGCCCACTTTGCTTTTGTAGGGGACACTGCCCCCCCCCCATACCACACCCCTATCCAATAATTCTCTCAGAACTATTTCTAAATTGTCTTAGTTTGAAAATTCCAAGCTTTATTTTCACCAAATCAAACCATTTTTTTTTGTAGAATTGTTGAGGATTTTATAGATCTGCATTAGTGGTATAACACGTCTATATTTTGTTGGGGTGCATAAACTGTAGGATATCGTCAGATATGTGATATTTATAATTTATTTACTTTTGAACTCTCTGCTTGACTGTTGAAAGGTGTTGTTATTACTAAGACGTGTGGTGAAAGAAATAATTTGTACTGTGGCTTATAACATAAGAATACAATGGTATCAAACCAATTTGATGGGTTTTTTTTATAAATCCCATGGGAAAGACAAAGAATTCCTTTTCATTCCACCTTCAATACAGGAAAAATTATGGATTTGTTGTTTTGTAACTTTATGCCAAGACTGAAACCTAGGGGGTAATAAACAGTTCCACATGTTTTTATATATATAAAGACAAGTTTGAATTGTACTTGAGAGGTGTTTTTTAGTATATTTATTTACTTTATATTTTAAGTATTGTACTCTATGAACTAGTTTTCGAAATAAAGAGAATGAATGAATGAATGAATATATATTTTTCTCTTTGAAACTTAATCATATGACTGACATAAAACAACATTAATGTTATTTTCTTTGATAAGATATATATTACTTTTAATCAGTTTTGTCATTTGGAAAGACATAAGCTGTTAATCACATGTAAACATTGGCTTTGTGCAGAATTTGGTTCACTACAGTAGAACCACTCCTTTGGGAATCCCTATTAAGGGGGCACTTTTTTGGTCCTGAAAGTGTTCCCTTATAGGGATTCCGCTGTATTTGATTAAAGTACTACTGTAGTGAGCTTTGTATCATGATCTGCCACTGACAAAAAAGCCTGTATGAACAGCTTATTGCATAAATATTTATACTCATTAAAAAGATGAACAAAAAATATTTATTAGTTATTAAAAAAACTAGACTTTCTCTCTGTTGTGTATAAAGCCCAAATACATCTGTCAGCTTCTAGTAGGTAATAAGAGTCAAGTGTCTCCCTAAAGATACATTAAAATATGTCAATAAATTCACTAGACTAAATAAACCACCGAGACACAAATTTATTATAATATGACATTCGCTTTGTTTCAGCTAAATTGTAATTGGGTCATTATAAGTAGGCTTACAAAAAAAATGGTTATTTATGGAGGAAGTAAAAAATAACTATGATTGCAAGTAATAGTTGCATACAAGTTGGAGGTAGCTAGTGGCTTGAGATTTAACAATAAAATAAACTCAATTGGCGTGGGTGGAGGGCCCGTCTTTGGTCACGAAAAATCGTGGGCTAAGATGCTCTCTGGTGCACCTTGAAATAGATCTCTAGTGCTCAAATTAAACCTTTAAAATGTGTTATGTGTTAAAATAGAATTTTCAATGTTTCTAGGCCTGACAAACTATAGAATTGCAAAGGTTTTATGTATTTTGATAAAAAGTTTGGTTTAATAAAAGGAGCCTTAATAAAATGAAGCTTGAGATCAGTGGAAAAGCATGAGATATTAGGTGAGACTTGGTAGGTTGGTATGTAGTTGGCATAGTTTGGTATGTATGCACTCTGACATATCCAGGGTCTGAGAAAGCATGGACTCCCACCCACTCACTGAATATACCAGACAAACTGTCTAGTCTTTGTTTGAGTTGCAATGGTAAACAGTGTTCACATTGGCTAGGTAGTAATCCTCATTAAAAAGGATTTTAATTAAATATAATGTACAAATAAAAACCTACTGCATTGTGTTTGTATTCCTAAATTTATGTTAATTCTGCTTATTATTGCTTTCTTTATCTGAAATTATTGTATTTAATTTGTTGTCGTTTATATTAAAGTGATATTATGGCTTAGAGGTTGAGATGCTTACCTTCCAAAATCAAAGTTCAGGGTTCCATATCATTCACCAATATGCCATTCTATTTCCTAGTACACCAATATTCCCAGTATGCTATTACTCTTCCCAAAATATGTCACTCTTTCCAACATTTTTTTACTCCATTACCGTAAATGTTCGAATAAGCGCCGCTCTCAAATAAGTGCGCACCAAACCTGATTTTTTTTCGCTAAGCACCGCTCTCGAAAAAGCACCAGTGGCGCTTATTCGAGAGTATATATTACCCTGTGTGTAATAAAACACTTAGAGAAACAGGATTTAAAATACGGGAATACGTGAGATGGGAACAGGCATGGAAAGTGCCACCCCATTATTTTTTTTATAAGTGCCCCTCTCGATTAAGCACCGCTCTCTACACTGAAACCTTCTCAATTTTGGTAGGCGGCCGACGTGATTCAATGAAGAACGCAAAAGGAGGACATGCGTGCAATGGATCGTTTTTAATGATGATCCGTTTAGACTGCCAATCAGCAGACGGCTTCGCATCGCCCAGCCCTCAAAGGAAGCGGGGTTGGATTTGTGGTACGACCGTGACACAATAATGCAGTCGAGTGCCCAGCTTAAACCCTCTCCCCAATAATGCTACACCCCTTACTCAATTTGACACATAATATAACCTATGCCAGAATATCTCAGAATTGAACCATTTGGGATTGGATCACATCATAACGACAAGCTGCAGTCACAATGAATAATACTGTGATTCGGTCCCATATTACTTGTATTAAATGGCAGTATTTATAAAAATATTGTCTTTGATTATTTTCAGATAATGGATTCAAGTAGTTCATTTTTCAATTATTCCTCGAGCACTGTTACGGCAGGTACTGCCAATGCTATCAGTACTTCATCTAGTCTGTCCTCTGCAATGGACAACACGACCATCAATAACAATGATGTACATGTCCATCGCAACAATGACCATCTACAGGATAATGGATTGTTTGAAAGCCTTCAGTCTGAGGTAAGTTTATGACACATCACATCACTCACTAAATCTTGGTTATAGAGAAATAATATCTGCTCTCCATTGCGGTTTACAGAAAATCAACCTTTAAAGCTTATAATTTCAGACATCCAGAGACCATCATCAAATTGTAAAAAAAATGTCTAAAATGGGGAAAATAACAACTTAACACGATGAATAGATATAAGGTTACAAAATTGTTGACATTCCAACATGTTTGGCCATTGTCCCCGAAACACGATTTGCAAGGCCATATATAGAGTAAACAAAACATTAGTAATATTTGTTTCATCTCCAATGTTTCTTTGTTTACAAAACAAACCTGAAGGGTTTCACACCTTGCCACGAATCGTTGGTGCATGGTTTACAGAACAAACTTACTTTCCAATCACTAATGACATCGAACATGCTAATTTAATTGTAAACTACAAGTTGTTGAACCTGTGTCATTGGGGAAAACAGCTTGCGACCAATCACAATGGTATGATAATGCCGAGTACAAACGTCAAGGCCCGTTCAGCTGAAGGGTGTGGTGTTAGCCCTGTTCGACCACTATGACTAAGATCCCGACAGACATAAGCCTGGCCCAGGATAACATGTTTGCAATGTCAGGTCCTATTGAGTTGGAGTCTTTGCTTAATACCAAGCAGGTCAACTTGTTAGGTGTATAGAGATGTCTTTCAATCACTTGTCACATTTTGCTAATAAGCTGTTAAACTTTTCCAAAGTATTAATTGAAAGAAGTGTCATGATAAGTCCAGAAAATATTAAATACATGTACAGTAGATCATTTAAAGATAAAATAAGTTAATAATTTCCAATAGACACAAATCAATGGTTATTTGATTTTCAATGATTAACACACTTTCTTCTAAAAAAAAGACTGCTAATAAATTTTAGGATCAGTGCAAAAAAAACAAAACAGAATTTTACAGTATGCCTATTAATTTTCAAGGAAAATAAATTTTGTTCTAATTTTTTATTGTAATTTAAATGTCTTAAAATGTAGGCCTATTCAAATATTGAATTATATTTTCTGTGACTTATTTGAAGCATGATAATTCATTAGGTTTTTTCATGAGCAACTTTATTATATTTGATTTTTTTCCTGTTATTCTAGGTGGCAGTCTGTATTTTTCAAGCAGTTAAGACTACTCAATGTTATTTTTTTCTCATTTTAATTTTTATTATTATGTTATTATGTTAATGTTAATTTGCTCAACATACAGTATTGTATTTATTGTCGTGAACTATGTTGCATATAGGAGATTGGCTTCAGGGATACCAGTTCTTATTAAAATTCAATTCCATTGTTAAAATATTGCAGTATGACCAGTTAAAATTATTAAAGTGTTTTTTACATAAATTTTTAATTTGCCCTAGAAACATCTTTATTTTAAGTCCTTGATTTTCAATCTCACATGATACAGATTTAAGATAAGATCAAGTTTATTGTCCAATTAGTTTCCAAAAATACATTTGCAAATTCATTGTTTGGTCCAATGCCAGAGACAAAACAAGAAGGTTTTATAGAAATTAGGTCCACATGCAATAATGCTCTGCTCACCATTCCATTTAATAATAAAAAATAATATATATCACTCATTTTACCGTCAAAGTAATTTTCCTTTTTCATGAGCAGGAAATACAGTACTTTTAACTCTACCCACTAGACTTTGAGATTAATCGTTGCTATGCAACATTGACTGTTGCTAATCCCATTGTCTTGCAGTATTGACCATTGCTACGGCTGCTTTATTTCAGAAAACTAGATCATTTGTCCTTCCAAAATCATAATTAATAACTCTTCATTCCACGCATTGGAAACGTGAAATTTGGTTTGCAGCTCAGCTAGACTGAAAATTTGGGCCTATTCAGGGACTTTAATGTATAGAATTTGTCCATGCATTTTGGAATTAAGGACTGATTAAAGGTGTGTTGTCCCATGCTAAATACCGAAAAAAATCATAAAAATATTTTTTGAAATTAACTTGCCCATTTTGAAGTAACATAAAATTTATCAACTTGATCATAGAAATTAGTGTATTTAAAAAGTGTCTACCCATCAGTTTACAGCGAAAAATGATAGAAACACTTCCAGTCACCGGAAGTGTTTTATTATTTTTATTATACTTTTCTGGTTTAAAGATCAGGGTACACATTTTTTAAATTCATTAATTTTTATGCACAACTTAATAATTTGTATGTTATTGCAAAATGAGCAAGTTGATTTCAAAATTATTTTTTATGATTTGCTGACATTAGCAAGGGACAATTCAAATTTTGAATTTGTCTATTTTGTGCATCCTTACGGTAAATACTGTCCACCAAAATGTACTGTAAATTTCTATTACTTATTGTTTTGTGATTTTTTTTATGCTTGATTTTTAGTTCTTAATATTGCCCTTACAAAGGAATACTTTATAATGTTGGATAACTCACTACTGTATGTTACTCAAATTTGCATTTAAGATGTAATAGAGTGTTTCATGGTTTTTAACTTCACTAATTTATGCAAATTATTTTGGAAGATTTAGCAAAGTTATTGTTGAAATGAGTCATAGAATCTTAATCTCTAAATGATGCAAGTCACAGCATTTTGCTTGCTAAGTAGTTAGTTGTACTTTTTAATTCTTTCTTACTTTCAACTTTTAAAGCATCACTTTCACAGTTCCTGCATTAGTCATCCAATTTAGATAATGAACCCTTAAAGATCTGAAAATCTCCCCAATCAACACTTAATTGTTGAATATTTAATTGCACTGGATAACTCCCCTGCAGAAAAAGATATCATGGAATTTAAATATTCATTTCCAGCTTAATCAATTCTCTTACATAAAATGTAATATAGTGTCAATAGAACATCAGATAGTTGATCTTATTTAATGGTTATACATATGTCTGTTAGGATAAGGGTATAGTGCCTGTCTTCATGCTTTATGCCATGTTCAACTGTTGAACTGAAGCCAAATGATTTGAAATAGCTTCCCCCCAAAGACCATGGTGTTGAATGAAGCTGCTTGGCTTATCATTGACTGGCCTTGTTATTGGGTGAAACTAGTTCTTTAAAGAGATCAATAACTAATTTTGATCGTGGGAATTCAGTTGTACTCCTTATCTCTGGAGTTTTATTAAAGTTATCATATTATGTGGTAGTTTGTTTGAGCTTGAAAATTGTGGTTAATATTTATTTAGAAAAAAAGGTGAACTGTAGTTTAACGTTTATCCTCTTTCTATTCCACTGCCTTAGTTGAAGTAGTCCCATAAAATACAAGGCTTTAGATTTGTTAAATACAAACCTTTGGCACAGCGATTGAGGCTTGAACTCTTAACCACATTGTTAGGGGCTCGAAACTCTCGCTGCAGAAGTGGCTTGTGTCCTTGGGCAAGACACTTGTGTGCATTCGTCTCTCTACCCGGGAGTACGGGAGTACAGAGGGGTTCCGGCATATGCTGGGAAGGTAAACAAACTGGCTGTAAGGATGAGTGGCGATCTGCTCAAATGCTTAAGAGTGATGGGCACACTGGACCTGCGTGTACAGGTTCGACTACCTTTACCTTACCTTTTTCCTTTTAACACTACTTCAGTCATCACGTCCAGAGAGCAACCACAAACCTCCCACAAACTAACCTGTATCCTACAAATTCATAATGTTCGCATGAATGTATCATTGTCTGCCTGAAATCGACCAAGCACTGCGCAACAGTATTTGTTGAGAAAGCTCACTCAAGCACATCTCCCTGAAGTGGCTTCATATAACCTTCTGTAAGACCAACCCACTGATTTTATGGAGCATCACATAGTCCCATCCTGTATTAGTAATCCGGGACGGATCCAGAGAATTTCTGAGGGGGGGGGAAGGGGCACAAAATGAAGTTTACGCCGCCACCCCCACCTCAGCCCCACCATGGTTGGTGTAAATAAGTGGTAAATAATTGAGCTCTCCTTTCACCCTGTCCTGGATCGCCACTGAACTCATGCATGCACTCCTTTTTTTCCTCTTTTCTCTCTTTAACTAAAATTTTTCTCCCTCTTTTAACATTTCGACTTGACTGACAGGGGGGGCCTCATGGCCCCCAACTGGATCCGCCACTGGTAATGGACCTTGTGGAGTGCCATCAATCATACTAACTAATAAGAAGAGGGCAAGGCCAGCATTACACACATGTCTCACAAACAAACAATCTTACAACCATTTAAAAGTCTTTTGTTTTTTTATGTCTTTATATTGTGCATTATGAGGATGTAAAGCAAGTGTAATGTATTGGCTCAAAGCCAGGTATACATTCAGGCTTTCGTCTGTCAGACTTTTTATAAAAAAAAAGTTATAAAAAGTAAAATAGTTTTGCTTGTATCAGATCTATTAAAGTATTAGCTCAAAGCTGAGAAAGACTTAATAGACTGTTTAATCAAACATTGTTTGATAGTGTATGCTTATTTCAGACAAGTGTGACAAACAAATTAATCAGTTTGAGGTGATATAAGCTCATCATCATTATCTTTGTATTGAGTGTGTTTATGTTGTTACTGATGATAGATGAAAAAAAAATAAAAACAATAATACTAAATGTCCAGATTGATGAATTTATTTTAAATGTTTTAACATTCACTGTTTTAATAGTAATATTAACAATTTAATAATAATAATAACTATTATTATTATTATTATTATTATTATTATTATTATTATTATTATTATTATTATTATTATTATTATTATTAATAATTCAGCAAAGTAAAATACAATCTTGCAAGCAATAGGCATTAACCCAAACAGTAAACTGCTCTTACTCTATCATGAAAACAATAAATATAACATTAAAAATATAACTAATTGAAAATTATTAACTTTTAAATTGAACTTTTTAATTAACAACCTAGGCACTTAATAATTATAGAATAGTAAGATTAACAACAGAAGTTATCAATAGTATCATTACGATAAAGATCACATATTGTGGAGTGGAAACTCATTCACTTTAGGTACGACCTGATT